ACATGTGGGGACACCTGGGGACACCTGGGGACATGTGGGGACATGCCCACCCCAGCTAGGAGACACGCAGGGACACCTGGGGACACCTGGGGACACCTGGGGACACCTGGGGACATGTGGGGACATGTGGGGACATGTGGGGACACCTGGGGACACCTGGGGACACCTGGGGACATGTGGGGACACGTGGGGACACCTGGGGACATGTGGGGACACCTGGGGACATGTGGGGACACCTGGGGACACCTGGGGACATGTGGGGACACCTGGGGACATGTGGGGACACGGCCACCCTGGCCAGGGGACATGTGGGGACATGTGGGGACACCTGGGGACATGTGGGGACATGGCCACCCCATCTAGGAGACATGCAGGGACACCTGGGGACACGTGGGGACACCTGGGGACACGCAGGGACACCTGGGGACACGTGGGGACACCTGGGGACATGTGGGGACACGGCCACCCCAGCTAGGAGACACGCAGGGACACCTGGGGACATGTGGGGACACGTGGGGACACCTGGGGACATGTGGGGACACAGCCACCCCAGCCATGGGACACGCGGGGACACCTGGGGACATGCGGGGACACCTGGGGACATGTGGGGACATGGTCACCCTGGCCAGGGGACACGTGGGGACAGCTCGGGGACACACGGGGACAGTGAGGGGACATGTGGGGGTATGGGCATCCCGGCCACAGGACACACGGGGACACCTGGGGACACGTGGGGACAGCGAGGGGACACCTTGGGACATGGCCACCCCAGCCAGGGGACATATGGGGACACCTGGGGACACGGCCACCCTGGCCAGGGGACACGCTGGGACAGCGAGGGGACACCTTGGGACATGGCCACCCCAGCCAGGGGACATATGGGGACGCCTGGGGACACGGCCACCGTGGCCAGGGGACACGCTGGGACAGCTTGGGGACATGTGGGGACAGAGAGGGGACATGTGGGGACATGGCCACCCCGGCCAGGGGACACGTGGGGATACTTGGGGACATGCGGGGACAGTTTGGGGACACAGCCACCCCGGCCAGGGGACACACAGGGACACTTGGAGACACGTGGGGACAGTGAGGGGACATGTGGGGACATGTCCCCATGTCCCCAGTGTGGTGGCACTGATGTCCCTGATGTCCCCGTGTCCCCACTGTGGTGATGGCACTGATGTCCCCGTGTCCCCGGTGTGGTGGCACTGATGTCCCCACTGCGGTGTCCCCGATGTCCCCGTGTCCACATGTCCCTGATGTCCCCGGTGTCCCCGCTGTGATGGCACTGATGTCCCCATGTCCCCATCTCTCTGCTGAGGTGTCCCTGATGTCCCCATGTCCCTGATGTCCCCGTGTCCCCATGTCCCTGATGTCCCCCCTGCGGTGGCACTGATGTCCCTGATGTCCCCACTGCAGTGTCCCCGTGTCCCCGTGTCCCCGCTGCGATGGCACTGATGTCCCTGATGTCCCCAATGTCCCCGTGTCCCCGGGTCCCCGTGTCCCCATGTCCCCATGTACACGCTGCAGTGGCACTGATGTCCCCATGTCCCCGTGTCCCCAGTGTGGTGTCCCCATGTCCCCGTGTCCCCGCTGCGGTGGCACTGATGTCCCCAATGTCCCCATGTCCCCGTGTCCCTGCTGCGGTGGCACTGATGTCCCCATGTCCCTGCTGCGGTGTCCCCATGTCCCCGTGTCCCCATGTCCCTGATGTCCCCATGTCCCCGTGTCCGCATGTCCCCATGTCCCCATGTCCCTGCTGCGGTGTCCCCATGTCCCCGTGTCCCCATGTCCCCGTGTCCCCATGTCCCCGTGTCCCCGTGTCCCCGCAGGTCCCTTCGGCACGCTGGGCGTGGGCGGAGGATTCGCGCTCGGGGCCAAACTCTGCCGGCCCGAGGCTGAGGTGACACCGGGACAGCGCGGGGACATCGGGGGGACAGCGGGGACAGTGGGGACAGCGGGGACATTGGGGACAGTGGGGACATTGGGAACACTGGGGACTCTGGACATTGGGGACATTGGGGATTGGGGACACTGGGGACATTGGAGGTTTTTGGGGACATTGGGGACATTGGGGAATATTTGGGGGAATTGAGGACATTGGGAGACATGGGGACATTGGGGACATTGAGGGGATGGGGACATTGGAGGGACACTGGGGACACTGGGGACATTGGGGACACTGGGGACATTTGGGGACATTTGGGGACATTGGGGGATTGGGGACATGGGGGATGAGGGGATGTTGACAACATTGGGGACATTGGTGGGGGGCACTGGGGACATTGGGGGGACAGTGGAGATGAGGGACACTGGGGACAGGGGAGACATTGGGGACAGGGGGGACATTGGAGACATTGAGGGGACAATGGGGACGTTGAGGGGACATTGGGGACCCTGGGAGGACATTGGGGACACTGGGGCTGGGGGAACAGGGGGGACATTGGGGACATTGGAGGGACATTGGAGACATCAGGGACATGGGGACAGTGGGGACGGAGGACACTGGGGACAGTGGGGGATATTTGGGACAATGGGGGGATGAGGACACCAGGGGGACATGACAGGGGGACATTGGGGACACTGAGGGGTGACACTCTGGTGACACTCTGGTGGCCCTGGGGTGGCCCCGGGGTGACACTCGGGGCCCGTCCCAGGTGTGGATCCTGTACGGGGACGGATCCCTGGGCTTCAGCCTGATGGAGTTCGACACCTTCGTGCGCCACAAGGTCACTGCCACTGTCACCTGTCACTGTCACTGTCACTGTCACTGTCACCTGTCACTGTGTCACTGTCACCTGTCAGTGTCACTGTCACCTGTCAGTGTCACTGTGTCACTGTCACTGTCACCATCACTGTCACCTGTCACTGTCACTGTCACTGTCACCTGTCACTGTGTCACTGTCACTGTCACCTGTCAGTGTCACTGTCACCTGTCACTGTCACTGTGTCACTGTCACTGTCACCATCACTGTCACCTGTCAGTGTCACTGTCACTGCCACTGTTAATGTCACCTGTCAATGTCACTGTCACTGTGTCACTGTCAATGTCACTGTCACCGTCACTGTCAGTCTGTCACTGTGTCACTGTCACTGTCACCTGTCAACTTCACCTGTCACTGTCACCTGTCATTCTCTCTGTCCCTCTGTCCCTGTCCCTGTCCCCAGCCATGTCTCTTTGTCCCCATGTCACTTTGTCCCTGTCCCCGTCCCCTCAGGCCCCTGTCCCTGTTCCCATGTCACCCTGTCCCCGTGTCACCCTGTCCCCGTGTCACCCTGTCCCTGTGTCACCCTGTCCCCGTGTCACCCTGTCCCTGTGTCCCTTTGTCCCTGTGTCACCCTGTCCCCGTGTCACCCTGTCCCTGTGTCACCCTGTCCCCGTGTCACCCTGTCCCCATCCCTGTCCCTGTGTCACTTTGTCCTTGTGTCACCCTGTCCCAGTGTCACCCTGTCCCCGTGTCACCCTGTCCCTTTGTCCCTGTGTCACCCTGTCCCTGTGTCACCCTGTCCCCGTGTCACCCTGTCCCTGTCCCTGTGTCACCCTGTTCCCGTGTCACTCTGTCCCTGTCCCTGTCCCTGTGTCACCCTGTCCCTGTCCCCGTGTCACCCTGTCCCCGTCCCTCCCCCAGGTCCCGGTCATCACCCTGGTTGGCAACGACGCCGGCTGGACCCAGATCAGCCGCGAGCAGCTCCCCCTGCTGGGCAGCGCCGTGGGCTGCAGCCTCAGCTACAGCGGTGAGTGACCACTGAGTGACCACTGAGTGACCACTGAGTGACCACTGAGTGACCAACTGACCACTGAGTGACCACTGACCACTGAGTGACCACTGAGTGACCATTGACCACTGAGTGACCACTGACCACTGACCAACTGACCACTGAGTGACCATTGACCACTGACCACTGAGTGAGTGACCATTGACCACTGACCAACTGACCACTGAGTGACCACTGAGTGACCACTGAGTGACCACTGAGTGACCACTGACCACTGACTGACCACTGACTGACCACTGACCAACTGACCAGTGAGTGACTACTGACCAAATGACCACTGACCAACTGACCACTGAGTGACCACTGAGTGACCACTGTGACCACTGAGTGACCACTGACCACTGAGTGACCACTGACCACTGAGTGACCGAGTGACCACTGAGTGACCACTGAGTGACCCCTGACCTCTGACCACTGAGTGACCACTGAGTGACCACCTCCTTGCCCCCATGGTGACAACGCCAACCGTGGAGGTGACAATGCCACCCCTTGGTGACAATGCCACCCGTGGAAGTGACAATGCCACCCATGGAGGTGACAATGCCACCTCCCCATGCTCCTAGTGACAATGCCACCCCTGGTGACAATGCCACCCCCGTGGAGGTGACAATGCCACCCCTTGGTGACAGTGCCACCCCATGGTGACAGTGCCACCTATGGAGGTGACAGTGCCACCTTTAGCAGTGACAATGCCACCTCCCCATGCTCGTAGTGACAATGCCACCCCTGGTGACAATGCTACCCGTGGAGGTGACAATGCCACCTCCCCATGCTCGTAGTGACAATGCCACCCCTGGTGACAATGCCACCCCTGTGGAGGTGACAATGCCACCCAAGGAGGTGACAATGCCTCCCGAGGAGGTGACAGTGCCACCCCCGTGGAGGTGACAGTGCCACCCTTTGGTGACAATGCCACCCGTGGAGGTGACAATGCCACCCCTTGGTGACAGTGCCACCCCTTGGTGACAGTGCCACCCATGGAGGTGACAGTGCCACCCCATGGTGACAGTGCCACTCGTGTGTCCCCAGATTACCACGCGGTGGCGACGGCGCTGGGCGGCCGCGGCTTCGTCCTGGACAGCGCCGGGGACACCGGAGGGGACACCGGAGGGGACACCGGCGGGGACATCGAGGACAGGGTGGTGGCCGTGCTGAGGGCGGCGCAGGCCGAGTGCCACCGAGGCCACCCCGTCCTCGTCAACGCCCTGCTGGGCCCCAGCGACTTCCGGCAGGGCTCCGTGTCCGTGTGACCCTCGGGGACA